TTTTTCCTTTTTAATGGTAGATGAGATTGAGAAAGAGGCTTGCCTTTATTACCTGAATAAAGCAAGAGAAGTTCATTATTGGGCACCTCTGCACAAAGTCTGGATTTACAATATGATTAAGCGGCCTTCCTATGTGGTGAATTCACCAGAAGCTGCACACAGATGGGGTTGCTTTTGTCACTATATTACAAACCTGAGCTTCTCTAGTTTGTTGATATGCAACATCACCCTTCAAACATTTTATATTTCCTAATTCTCGCACCTGCCATTTGGACACTATATATACATTACAATTAACTCGCACTTTACATGGAAAAGCACCTCATGGCCTCTATTAAGTGGGGTGGAGGATCTCTGATGCTGTGGGACAGTTTCTTTTCCGAAAAACCTAGGAAACATGTTAGAACTGGTGGCAGAATAGATATTTTGACATAAAAGATCTTAAAAAAAAATCTGATGGCCTCTGCCAGAAATCTAAACATTTGGCATTCAAAGACATACAACCAAATCCATAAGTAATGTCATTAAGTCCTTAAGACTTAAATATTGTAAAAGATAGATTTATAACTCTCCATGGTTGTGAAATGTCACCGGGGTATGCTACAGTATGTACTGTTCTATTGTTGCAGAGTTTCCTAGAAATTGTGTTAAAACACACAATATCTAACATGATAAAGCTTCTAAAATTTTTATTGACATTGTTGTCATTGTTTGATTTAATTTTACATTCTGTTTTAAATAATTTCAAACATGCGGGTGACATTGCCACTGTAACAGTGGGTGGTGGCTCACTACAGTCCAGGACAGTGGGGAGGAAACTGCAATCCTGGCACTGGCAGTATGCTCTCTGAGTCCATTTACTGCAGAGCACAGCAGACTTCAAGTTCCATATGCCAAGAAATGCTCATATTCTGTTCCTACTGTAAATAATCCAAAAATATATATTTAGAATAAACATGCAATCTGCTTACATTCAGGGTTAATTTAAGTAAAGTATTTTTAAAGTTTAAAGTAATAAGAAACTTTATCTGCAACAAAAAATATGTGCTATTTGAAGTCTTCTTGACACCAAACTAATATATATATGTATATATATATATAGGTGTGAAGAAATCTTTTTTCTTCACGTCTTGTTGTTCATTTCTTGGCTGCTACAGTGTATTTATACAGTATATCACTGCCATATTAAATATATTACATTAAATCTTTCGTCTATCAATCTATTCCCTCAAAAATGTTTTGCAGAATGTCTCACATTTTCCTCAGCTATGGGGTTAGAGATATTAGCAACTGTGTGTTTATTACTTTATAATGTCCAACATGTTTTCACTGATTGACGGCTCTGGGCTGTTGAAAGGCAATTTTCGCACTCTGTATTTCTCCACAGAATGTCATCAATGCTGTAGTAACACACTGAGAATGTGGGTTTGGCAGCAACTGCGCTGTAAAAAGACGGCATCTGCATGTCAAAATTAGCAAGTGTGGTCTGTGCAGTGGTCCGTCCCCTGTGTCATTGGTGATTATGACATTGAGCGATGATGCCGCAAGCCAGTTGGTCATGCTCTTTACTTGACAGGAGCAATCAGCATCTTCTATTTTAAAAGATTTAAATGATTAGATATTTTTTAATTTCCAACCATTAGCGTCTAGGTTGATGGATTAAACAGTGCTTTGTGAGATGTTTGTAACTTGCAATATTGCTTCATAACCCAATCCTACTTTTACCTTCTACTTTTTTGTCTGTGAGGTGTCTTTCTTGTTCTTCATGTTGTCTTTTTCACAAATGGAATTCATACTGAGATTAGGTCAATGCACTTGACTGCTTACTGAAAAATACTTTAAACACAGTCAAGTCAAATAACTGTATTTAACTTATTTCCCCAATCTCTTCCTTACCTCATAAGGGGTATAAGAAGACTTATAATGGTCTTGTGGTTCATTCTTTAGTCTTGCCACATGTCACAATGGGACAGACCAAATCACATCGAGGTAAGAGCTGCGTTTGTGATTGTATCAAACTGAAACATAACAAGCTGTCAGCTCACATTTGAGGAAGCATGCATCAGCACCAGCCTATTTGACATCCATTCGGACAGGGCAGACAGGTCTTATTCAAGCAGTGTTATTCCTTTAAGTCTCCTCCTGACTGTTTCTCCATAGCTTAAATGTTTGAATTTCAAATGGTATCTAACAAATGGTATCTAACATTGAGCAATTTAATATTTGGATTCTACAACACATGGTTTGTTAGAAACACACAGGGTGACAATCAGAAATTAAAATAAGGTTGAAAAATAGTATCCTAAGGGTTTAGAACACATCAGAAGCACCATTTATCCCATCTTTGGAAAATATAGTATCACTATTAAGCAAACCTACCTAAACACGCCCTCCACCTAAAGCGAAAGATATGCCAAGGAAAGTATTAGTAAGCAGCCAAAAATTGTGGTAATTCAGGGTTGATGCAGTCTACACTTCATGTGAGCAAGTGTGGATATTGTGGATAATGTCAGTATCAACTTTATTTATTTATCGCATTGAATACAGATAACTATGTGCGGTAAACAATGAAAATGGGAATAAATTAAAAAAGAAACAACATTTTAAATAAAATTAGAGTAATACAAATATCACAAACTTAAAATGCTGAAAAAAAATAATATATAGGTCTACCCCAGAGTCCTGAATGGACTCAGGTACCCAGCGGTGATAACAAAAGGCGCGGGCGGATACACTTTTGAAAAATCCGACCCGTGCAGAATTCTGGTCTACCCTAATGCAATGATGAAATAAATAAAATTATCTTCTCAGCTTGAGGTAAAAGCCAGTGCAAACACATGGGTTTTTAACAAAGATTTCAAGATGCAGATAGACTGGGCTGTTCTAATATCTGGTCTGTTTTAATATTCAGAATCTCATAATGAATCCTGTAGCTGGCTGGAAGCCAGTTCTGCAGAAGTTATTATGTGCCCCCACTTCTTTGTGCCAGTCATATAATAAGCTATATGCCGGCACCCTGCTGGCACCATCTTAGTTTGTTAGTTTTTAGTCATGCACTCAACACCCACTCTTCAAAATCTTTATTCAAGACTGGTGAAAAGAAAGTCATTGTTAAAGGAAACCTGAAAATATCCAATCAGCAGTGTGTAATAGGCCATGAAGAAGACTCAGCAAACATGTTGAAAAAGATATTCTGGCAAGAACAACACTGAACCTATTTGCCAATTTGTATAATGCTTTGTGAGGTAGAAAACTACTAGTGCACATAACCTTGAAACTGTGGCAACAATGTGCTGTTGGGCTCTATTCCAAGGCAGGAACAGGGAAGCTGGTAAGCATAACACAGCACAGAATCAGACAAACGACAAGGCAGAGGTTTATCTTCCAGTACGACATAAACCTAAAACACACAGCCAGAGGTACAATAGAACGGTTTAGATCAAAGCATATTTATGTGGTAGAATTGGCCAGTATTCAAGGAGAATCATATCTAAATAACATTCTGTGGTAAAACACATGTGTTACTATTGAACTTAAGCAATTTTTCAAAATAGAACTGCAAACAATATCAGCTTTTAAACTGATGCAAAGTTGACTGATATTCTCTTAAGAATTTACAGCTGCAAGAAGACCTACAGTCATTGGTGATCCTACAAAATAACCAATGTGGGTGAATGCACACATATATTCATTTAAATCACCACTAGGGCTGGGTATTTTGGCCAAAGACCTGAATCGATTTGATTTTGATGAATACAGTTCTAAATCGATTAATTTCGATTCAATAATTTTTTACAATAATGAAAGTGGTTCAACAACTCATGTATTTTATTTTTTCTTGTCATATTAAACACAAAGTGCAAACTGTCTCATAAGTGCAAAATTTTTTGTGAAAAAGTGAATCCTCATTGAGCAAGCAGACGTGAAACAGCGGAGACACAGCAGACATGCATGAGCTGCATTATCTTCCCTGCATAAACCATATTTGCAGCGTTGTCTGTAACAACTACAGGGTGTTTGCTGGTCAGCCTCCATTCGTTAATGTCTTCAGTCAAATTATTGGCGATATTTGCAGCTGTCTGGCTTGAAGTCATTTTCGTGGACTGTGGCACGAGATGCGAGGCGCCACTCATTATCAATGTAGTGGGAATTCACCTTAATGTCACATTTCCAGCACATTATCTTTAGCTGTATTAAATCCAAAATGGTTCCAGATATCAGACTTCAGGTAGGTCGGCATTTGCACACACCTGCTCATTTGAATGTGAACATCACGCAGGTCACTATAAAACTTATTGATCTCATTCCCTACACATCGATTTTACAAAAATCTAAAGGAATCGATCCAAAATCAATCAAATCGATTTTTTTACCCAGCCCTAATCACCACTACAAGCGCCAACTTTTAAAAGCATTTATTTTTGTCCCTTCCAAACTACAATGAGACTTAGAGGACTTAGACAGACTTTATTGCCATTTTGTACACAGAGTGTATACAAAAAAAAAAATTCTTTCAGTACAGCTCTCAAGTTTTTTTCATTTTTTAAAGTGCAGCAGTGATAAAAGGTAAACAGCAGCAATAAATGTAAACATATGACTGTATATGAGTTTCCAACATTTAGGGTTCTTTTTTTTCCAACCCCAATTTTATACAACATCCAGCAATCTAATGGCAGTGGGGAAGAAACTGTTCTGGAATCTGCTCTATTATGCATTGCTCTGTTGTTTTACTCATAATATCCAAATAATTTAAACCCATCCTCAATGTGTTTTACAAAATAGAAAACAAAAGTTAAGGGATGGTGGTTAACTTTTCATTTACTGCTTTAGAAGCTGTTCCAACGTCACCACATAGAGGGAGCTCATGCGTGTGAAGAAACCAAAGTATGTTCAAGTATAATCTGCATGACTAAGTGTGTGTGTGTGCACAATCAAAAGGTGTACTCAGTGGAGGAAATGGCATGTTTGTGAAAGAATAATATCAAAGCAAGCAGCAGGGGGAATTGTCTGTGCGCGTCGTTTCTCTTAAGTCATTGTTTCGGACTAACTTCAGTGTGAAACTGGTGACCCAGAGGGAGCCACGAGGCAGCGCGACAAGTTTGGAGAAGGGGAGAGGAGAAAAAAAGGATTTGGATCACTATTTTTAAATGTAAGATTTGGAAAAGGGGGCGTGGACGTTATTGGAGCGGCAGCAGCGGGGAGCGTGTTGGTTCTTGGACGCAGCTTCCACAGTGATGTGCCACCGGCTGCAGGAGGAACTGGACTGAGCGCGTTACAAGAAGATCTGCTGCAGCTTTGATTTTTTTTAATATATATATTTGTGTATTATAAAAAACGCTGTGGCGTTTTATTGGATGTATTTCTCCCTTCGTTCCTGATGGTCGCACAGAGAAAGGACTCGAGGAAAACAGGAGCTGTTGAAGCCGTCCAATGCGTAATGGATATAATCTGAATTTGAAGCTGTTTGAATGAAACGATTGGAGACATCTGACTGTTTGAGGGAGCCTTGTTGCGCACAACAAACCCAGCTGGAGCAGGAGGACCAATCTTCAAAAACACAAAAGAAAAACTGTCCCGCATGAATGTATTTCTAAATATTGAGAAGAGGTGCTGTTTTTCATGATTAAATGTGGCTGCATATGGTTACTCAACCCTTTGCCATGGATTATGCTCAAAGTGTTTAATCCAATTCTTTACGCCCATGAGTTTTAGAGTTAAAACCACTGTATGTGCCTGACTGAGAATGCGTTTGAAACGCAGAACGGGAAAGTAAGAGCCACCTGCGTTTCTTGAACAGCCAAAATGACAAGCAGCGGACCTGTCATTGTCTTCGAGTGGCTGAAGACCCTTCAGCTCTCCCAGTATGTCGAGTCCTTCGTGGATAACGGATACGACGACCTAGAAGTTTGCAAACAAATAGGAGACCCCGACCTTGATGCCATCGGAGTCTACATCCCTCACCACAGACAGAGGATCCATGACGCGGTGAGAAGGCTGAGAGAGGAAGCCAGAGAGACGGCCAGCGGACTGTATTTCACTCTTGAGCCGATGCCACCCGCGGCAGAATTATACACAGGTCACGGACTGGAGCATGAGTCCAAGCTGCGGGGATCTAGATCCTGGACAGAGCCTAACAGTGACCGAATCGGGCGTAACGGTGGCTACATGGGCGCGCAAAGAAACCTGACCCTGGGCAACAGGAGGGAGCTGGTGATGTACCCCAAGCTGAAGCTGAAGATCATGATCAGGGATAAACTCATCAGAGATGGCATCAACCTTGCAAGGCCACCATATTCTAATAAGGTAACTGGCCATGGTTCCCAACCTGACCAAAATACACGCACATTGCATCATGCGCACTTTTCCATCCATTACTGGGTATTTCAATGTCAGAAAACACTTTATTTTATAATTATTATTAAATAGAATAATAATAATAATAAAGACTAAAAGAGAAGAACATACATAATATTTATGCCAACAATATATTTGCCCAGTCAAGGGGACACTAACTGCTACTGATGATATATATATATATATAGGCAGTGTAATCATGAAAACACAGCGGAAAAATCTGGAAAATGTGGGGTATCATTGTCGCCCATCATTAGGAATGAAGAAGCATTTAGGAAACAGTTCCTCCAGAGTGTAAGAAAAAGGAACTCCATAAAAAGGTGTTGATCCAGGCTGGAAAGTATTGATTAAGCTCCGCAGACTCTCTTGTCAGAGATTTATGGATACTTCTGTGTTCTAGCTACTTTAATAATAACTGTAAAAGCTAAAATACACTCAAAAAGTAAATGTAGAACTAAGGTTATGCGGGGGGAACCTTTTTGGGTCACCATGATCCCAAGATCCAGTCTACACTAGAGAACAGAGCCTGAATTCCTCTAAACTGAATGACTGTCTTCTCAGTTTTTAGGACATTAGGTTATTGAACATGTCCGGGCACCATCCTTACGAGTCATAATTGCCCAATGATCAAGTTTTCAATCCAGCAGCAAACCAACTATAACTGAATCATTGGTCATTTTTAAATTGTAATAATATGGCTCTTGCACTCACAAAACATAAGAACTGAAGTATAGACTTTCCGCTTATGATCAATAGGAAACACAAAACAAAGCCAGTTTTCAGCCGTTTTCAGTTTTGTTTGACCTGCTGTTTCTGATTTACACTGGTTTGGATTCTGAGGGGAAATAAACACAAAATGGAGCAGGTAGCTAACCCTTATGTGATTTGCATTATTTGATTTACTACACAAACCTATCTGTACCTTTGTGCAATCATGGTGGTGACTTAATTTTCTTGCCACTGAAGATGGCCTTACTTTATAGGAAGATGAAAGGAATTAAATGCAGGACAAGATAACCTGTCAAGTTGCAACAGATGTGAGACTCTGACGAAGTTTTACCTACCAGCAAGACATTAGACAATCACATTTGTACCTTTATCCCAAAGAGGTATTATCGTAAAAACAAAAAATGCGTTTCAGGGTTTTCATATTTCTTAAAACTACAGAAGTGATATTTGTTGTTTCTAAATCCCAACAATAGTGGGAATTCTTAGTTTGCAAAATGATACAGACGGCTATGTTAAGAAAATGGATTCTTCATTTACTTTGCATCCTCTGTTGTTTGGATTAAAGCATCTTTAGTCAGCTAAAACACATCTTGCATGAAAAGCACGTTTCAAAGAAGTGATCCAGACTCTGAAAGCACAGGTAAAATTCTGATACCTTGATTCATTTTCAGGACCACTGCACTTTGCAAAAGTGTGAGTGGTTGCAGTTAGGGTGAGTGATGGGAGTGTAGGTGTTCCAGATCAATAACTGCAAAAGAGTGGAGATACAGGGAGACTTTTACTTTGACAGTAATTCTCTGTTGTAAAAAGAGAGATTTGCACCCTAATTATTAATCTACTTTGACCTCAGATGTTCCCCTGGATTATTTAGATTCCTCTACATTAAGTGAGGATTGATCAAACAGGCCAGGTGTCATGTAAGCCACAGCGCCTTACCATATATGAGAAACAGGCTTATTGAATGCATGAAGTGTGCCCAGCTGGGTTGGCTGCCGCAGTCTTGCGAGAGCCAGACTGAGAGAGTCTCTTGCATTCACAGACTGATACTGACCTCTCCTCTTAAGTGTCTGAATCATATGCCTTACCAGCTGATGAGGGCCTTGCTGAGTAACTGCTGTATATACAGGGAGGCTTTTGATCTGAACCTCCTCAGGTCCCTGGTGAAGCAGATGTGCTTTCCTTTACTTTTTTTGCTCTGGCTCTGTTAAAAGATACCAGATAAAAAGACCAACTCTGCTTTATACGTGTGATTAAAAACTAGAGTAGATCTATGTGTTTTACATAAAGTCTAAAGCAAGGTCTCAGTCAACATACAAACAAATGTTTTATATAATCATGTGGTGTTTGCTTATGCGTGGGTTGCTGTAGGTTCTGTTTCTTTTTGTCGGCAATGAATTAATCAATATGTGTTTTCATAACTACATTTAAGATATTACACACATACAAAATATTTGCGAGAAAAAACGTATAAGATAATTGCGATTATATAAAATGCAAAAATTGCAATGACCCTCTTAGAAATGGCCTCTTTATACTTTGCAGGGCATGAATGGTGTACTGCTATAAGAAAATGACTTTTTCTTGTATTGCTATCATTAATGGACACAGCAAAAAGAATTTGGTTTATTTTTTTAGTATGAGTTTCTTGTCAGAATTTTAACAAATGTTTGCAAATGTTTAGATTTACAATAAATTCTGCACAACTTTTTTTCCCTGTGTGATAGAAACTTACTAGTGTAAAGTTTTGTATTTTTCTTTTTGTAGAATTCATTTTTTTTCTTTCCAGTTTTGGATATTTAGATATGGATAAGTTTGTATAATCGCTAAAAATTTGTCGATTTCATCAATTAATTGTCACTTAATTGCAAAGCAAATTTTAAAAATCTATGTCGATATATTTTTCGTTCCACAGATCAGTGAAAACAATTTAACAGATAAAGGAAAGATATTAAAAAAGCAAAAGCATTTGCACCAACTAAAAGAGCAAATGAAAAAGTGGCATTAAAATTTTCAGCAAGATATTAACAACATTTATTTTAGTCTATTGACAGTTAAGTTGTCTATACTCTAAACACTACTTTCTACAAATATTGGTTCTGCTGGCTAACCTTGTCTGAGGAATGAGCCTGAGATTAGGAAACAAATATTTCAAATTATAGTGTGGTTTGCAAATAAATTTTTACTCATGCTTTTTTAATCATGCACTGTGATTGATTGATTGAATTTATTGATCTCACAGTGGAGACATTTATTTGTTACATCAGCTTAAATAGTCAAAGAAGAAGAATGTGCCAAAAGAAGAAAAAGATTCATGGGAAATCTACAGTATATACAGCGCGTCCACATGACAGCTTTTTTTTTGCATCTTTGTCCTTTAATATAACAGCTTTGTTGATTCTCTTACAGCTCCATTTTTTATTGAAGTAATACATTGAGTGGGAATAACCTAGATACACTCTCTTCCTGTGTCTAACTTTTGTCATTGCTTCTAATATTCAGAGTTTCCTTTGCAATGACTTTGGTATTGTTGAATGTTGCATAAGCTTCTTTCCTTTGGGTATTTTTTTATTTTCTTTTTGCCACTTTGGCTAATCAAGAGTCCCACAGAGGTTTTGGATTTGTGAAGGATTAACCATGAGACTGGGGTTTGAACAAAGTGTTGGTTAAATTATCTTTCTTTTTAAAGGCTGCATTTAGTAACAGCCAGAGCTTTAGCATTGATGCGTTGGAAAGGAATGAGCAGGTCAAGGTCTTTTAGTGTCTTTTGGTCTGTGTGAGTATATGTGTGTGTCCCACAGTTTTGAACTGGCCTTAGTGCAGCACTTTTTCCTCCCCAGGGTGAGTCATAGTGTGAGAGATAAAGCTCCGACCAGCTGATAGAGTTTGACTAACTGGCCTGTCATTGGTCCTCTGTTGATTTTTTACCCTTGAGAGGGATGTCAGCTCTGCAAAGGTCAAGTAGGGAGACTCCAGACTTGTGACAAGGATAGGAAACAAAATGTCACTTGCAATGAATGGTTATTAGAAAGTATAATAAATGCTTTCTGTCCATATTTATCTGCAGATTTTCTTTTTTTTTTTAAACTTCCTGTTCATCTATATAGCATCCAACAAAACCTTACATACTGCAAACACCAAGACTCAGAAAACAACTCCTGTGTCTACTAAATGTTTTCTGGCGAGACAACCCATTATCAAGCTATTCACTGAAAAGGCTCTGGTGGGTGTAATAAATAGATGTGATCCTTATCAAAGCCACTGAGACCCCTTGTCTGAGTCAGAGTATTATTTCCTATGATGTAAACAAACATGCCGAGGATTGCACAGTTTATGATCACTCATTGGGGAACAATATACATCCGAAAGATGCCTCTGCCAGTTAGTTTGTAGCTATAAAACACCATGCTCAGCCAATTACTTTCTGTCTGGGTTAGAAAAATCTGACCAACCGATTTACCAAACAGCTCTGCTGATCTGACTTTCAATATTACTCGTACTTTTCTTTGTCTTCACTTGCAGAGTGAAGCAGACAAAGAGAAGTACAAGTGGCGGATATAGGACTGGGATTCAAAAGATGTTAACTGCTAAACAGCACATTTTCATATTGACAAATGTAAAAAAACCCAAGGACGTTTCTAGACTTCCTGCTCAGCTCAACTGATTATTTTTAATGCTATAGTGGTTTAGTTTATATTATCAATGCTGAAACATTTTCTTAAACTAGTATCTTAACACTGTATTAGTAATGCAATTTAGCTGGTTGATATATGGTTCAGTTTAAGAAAGCAACAAAATACTTTTTGTTTTCTTAATTTTTTAAAGCTTAATAGAAAACTTGTCTTATTTTTTCTCATAAAAAAATACTAAAGATTTATGAGTCATTTGATGTAAATATGCAGTCATCTGGATGTTTAGGGACAGTATTTCATCATTAATTGTTGGTCCAAAAGCAGTAAATGTACATAATTTTAAAAGATATTGAGAAACCTACATTTTTAGTGTGCAAATCAGATTAATTGTTGATCAAGTTGTATTCAAAGCAAAGGAACTAAACAATTTTCCTCATGCTTGTAAATAATTTGTGAAAATGTATTTTTTGTCAGCAGGAAATTATTGAGTTACCAAGCAATTAAGTATCAATGTTACTGCAATTTACACTTTGATGCCATAGTCTTGTGTTTAAAATGATATAAGAGGTTTCTTATGTTATTCTTGTCAGG